GTCAGATCTCCAAAAAACTTTCCGAATTTTCGAAAAGTCGACTATGCTCTTCCTAACAAGTCTCCGAAACCCAAGAGAAAAAAATCACAAAGGGATATGTAGAGCCCATCGTTTCAATTTTATTGAAAAAATTTCTACGACTGACAATGTTGAAAATATAAAAACTTTGCATAAAACCCCATTTTCATAACGCCTATTGTCTGACAGAATCTGAGATTCGTAAGAGGAGAAGCAGTAACAAATGAGGATACACATCGGCGTGAAATAGCTACGACACCAGATTTTTGATAATAGAATTGGCTCTCAAATTCTCTAATCTCAAATACTATCACTTCTGGAAGCCCTGATTATCGTCAAAAAAAGCTCTCACAAACTACACATCATTTCTTCAAACAAGTTTCTCTTCCATCATTTATATTGACTAGCATGTATTGTGCTGCGATCAAAGCTTACCGGAGGTTCCGTGAACATATTCCGATTAGCACCGCCGAATTTTCCCAGCACTCTAACGGCGGTAGCTACGGATAGAGGGTCTCCAGACTTTCCAACAACTTTGTACAATCCTAAACTTGCCATTGTACCTATACAAATATTTTAAAGAAAACCAACCCTGCATCATTCCTCCGCGTACTGGCGAGAAGTTATCAAAGAGAAAGTCCGGCTGCAGATTGTCTACACATAGCTCGAGAGTGCGCAGTCCTAAAAGTTACACCTTTTTCAACAGAATCCTTTTTCTCATAAGCGCCAAGTTTACCTTGCTGGACAAGATTTGGTCCACCATTTAGGGCGCACACTAGAGGTTCCATCAGCAACGGAAGATGCGGAAGTAGGGTGGATAACCGTACTGGTACCGTCAAACACAATTCAACAAATAGTTCGCGCATCATTTGACGATGATCGCACCACTAAAGCATCTTTCAAAGAAAGCATTTCGTCAATGTGAACATACCTGGAGCTTATTGAAGAACAGCATGAGATCAGGTAAAAGAGGTAGAAATTGTGAATATAAGATATCGTGCAGCCCTCCTCCTATAGATCTGAATAGAGCACGCAAAAGCATGAAGTAGTTGAT